GTGTATTAGAAGTATAAAAAACTACATATATTCAGTTCAGTTGCATCATATGAGCACAAATGTGCTTCTTTTCCTTGATGAAAGTTGGAGGCTGTGTGATGTTTAGCTTGTTTTAATCATAAAAACTTCTGAGTTTAAGTATTTGAAGCCCATCGCCTCGCTTCTTCTTCTTCTTCTTCCTCAGACAGTTTAGCAACACATTCGTGACCAGAGGAAGAATTAGCGAGCACAGACAGTCAGACTGTGGAGTTTAAAGGTTAATAGATTTAAGGTTTATTGCCATGCATTGCTGAAAGGTATCTTTATATCCAAGATCTTTGTCTAAGGTTACTTCTTTATGTCTCCTCTTCTTTTCTTCAGTTTTTCTCGTCAATAGGTGTCAGAAAGCCTCTGAAATGTCTGCTTTGATGACGGATAAAAAACACTGCAGCGATGCAACAAACACAATCCCTTTCCCCTGAACTAATGAAGGTTTCGCCACGTTTCGGCTGAACCCGCAGCCCGACCTTTGTTCTCGGATCAGCAGATGGTCTCTTGGCAACTACCACGAGAAGTCAAGGGAGCAGACAAACAGATTGAGTTTGATTCGCTGAGTGAAAGGACTGACGCTTCGCTGTCGCCGCGTCTTGCTCGGCTATTTTCAGAGCTGTCTGCTTCGATCTTCATTAGTTAGATCATTCGAGCAGACGCGACTTTGGATAATCACTGAGCTGCGTTCTTCCTACTTAAGGTGTGATTGACTTCAAGACGCAGCCGAAGCGAATAAAGTCAACGCGTTGAAAATATGTCGGTGGAAAGTTTCTTCCAGTCTCGCTAACACCTGTGGCCCCTGAGAAAAATGTTGCACAAGCTGACTGTGGAGATTCTCAGTCATCCAGGTCATGGAAATCCTTGAAGCTTCAATAAAAAATAAAAAAAACAGCTGGTTTCTCTCTGAGGGTTCTTGAAAATGCTTCATCTGTGGTTGTAGCTGACATACGGTGAAGGCAGAGTTTACACCGGACATGTCGTCAGTCCATCACAGGGACAAATAATCAAAGAAATCCAACTTTTGTTTGTTCCCTTAGGTTCTTGAAAACATCTTTAGGAACCTAAAAGAGAAGTGTGGCTGCTTTTTACCGAAGATACTCGAGTTCGGCGTGTTGTCTCGAGGTTTTTTTTTTCCAATTTTTGAGGAATAAATAATCAAAGAACTTCACTTTCTGTTCTTTCCTTTTTCATGATTTATGGCAGCTTCTTCTTCATCCGGCACAGAAAACATTTTTAAAGG